CCCCAAAACCCCAAAACCCCAAAACCCCAAAACCCCAAAACCCCAAAACCCCAGTAAGGTGATATATTCTATTAATTATTAAATCATGGCTGACTCTATAGAAAGTCTAAACCACTCTGAAAATAGTAAGAGTCTAGAGGGATCTCAGAAAATAAATTCTCCAAGAGTTGTAGAGGACACTTTTATGCACACCAACCGCATGATCAGCAAAGATAAATCAAAATTAGATAATGAACAGATAGATGCAGAGGGAAATGAAGAGAAAGGAAGCAAGGAAAGTGAGGAATCTCATACTTCAGAGAATAAGATAGACAGATATCGCTCGACCATGCTTGAGTCTCAACAAAATGGGGGTGAAATCGACCCACTTGCCAGAACAGTTTCAATTCGGGAGATAGTCAAAACAGATATCATGTATAAATTTCCTCCTGATTTTGAGCTGGCTAGAATACATGGAGACGCTAGAAGGGTTAAGAATCTCGACCAATGTGAATATGAAAAGGATAAACTAGACAACTGTGATTATTTTTGTCCTTGATGCCAGATGCCTACTAAAAAATCAGCTCCACTGTATCCTTTCTGTTCCGAGAATATGGAACTAGAAGATTTTGGCTGAGGGTTCCCATTATATTTTTATTTCAAAATCTTTCTAATGGTTGTCTATTCAGTGATGGTTGCATGAACATCTATAACCGGATGGGTTATCTACTCAAATGGAGGAGATGGAGACCAATGGTTGGATCCAGAGGAGCCAACTCCTTTCTCTACGATAATCTCGATAGGAAATCTCGGTGTATCTTCTAACGAATACAACTCGTCCAAGGTGTACATAATATGTGCCTTGAACACTGTAGCAATGGTTATCATCTATATTCTCAATATTGCTTACAAGCCATTACAGCTGAAAGTCATTGAGAAGGTGGATGAGATCAATATATCGCCAGCAGATTTCGCTGTGATGGTGTCCAACATCCCGAAGGATAAAAATAAAGAGCAGATCATGGAATGGCTCATTTCTCAGGAAGAAGGCAAAATTTGTGATATCAACTTGTGCTATGACATCAAGGAGCCAATTCAGAAGCTGAAAAAGGTTGAAAAATTGAAGAAAATTGTGACTAATTATGAAAAAATGAAGAGCGGTCTACTTGGACTAGCCACCACAGTTCCTAAGAGCAAATCTGAGCTCGAGAAAGAAATTACAGACTTGGAAGAAGAGGTTGAAAATTTTAAAGAGAAATTGAAAAGTGAGGATACTGATAGGAATTTCACGGGTAAAGCCTTCGTTATCTATAACCAACAAAGTGATATTGTTAACATTACTACTAAGTTTCATCAAACTTGGATCAGAAAAGTGTATGATTTCTTAATGATCTACCTATGCAATGGAAAAGAAAAAGTGCAAGATTCTTGCTGGTGGGACGGCCAGAGAGTTACAGTTGAAAGATCAGCTGAGCCCACCAATATCTACTTCGAGAACATGGCTGTAGAGGAAAAGACTAGGTTTTACCGTAGCTTTGTCACATATTTCTTTGCATTCTTATGCTTATGATGTGTCTTTTTGATCAATTTGTTCTTATCATTCCTTCGAGAAGAACTTGGGGGAGCTTCTAATAAAAATAAGAGTACTGCAGAAATTGTGATCTCTTCGATTATAAGCATTTCATTTGTATCATCTATTGTCATTGCTAATAACAATTCTGTATTAGCTAAGGTAGTTAGGTACATCTCTAAGTATGAGAGGCATGAGACATATACCAAATTTAACCTAACTATTGCTCTGAAATTAACTGCTTGCATGTTCATCAACACAGCAGTGATTCCTTTTATTGTAAAGGGTGATAAGAAAGACTGGTTTGGTCCTGATGGACTAGCTAATGATGCTTTCCTTATTATTATTATCATGAACTTCGTAACTCCTACTATTAATCTTATTGGCTTCGGAAATATATTCAGAATTCTCAGGTTAAAATATGAAAAATGGAGAGGAGAGAAATCAACAATGATACAAAAGGAAGCAAATAAGTTATCTGAAGGAGTTGAATTTGATAAGCCATTTTTGTATGCCATAACAATGGTAACATTTTACATAACTTGTTTCTTCACACCAATGATCCCAATGCTTCCCATCATCTCTCTGCTTGGGATAGTTTACAAATATTTTGTGGATAGATACCTCCTACTACGAAGATGTAGTCTACCACAAGAAATGTCTGAACAAATGGCTATGACTTTTTCTGACTTAGTCCCACTAGGAGTCTTCTTGTATGCTCTAGGACAATTTATAGTAGTCAGCCAGCTATCTAATGGAAAGAACAAGCTCCCATATTTAGCCTTGGGGCTTTCTGTGATAGGCTTATTTGTCCCATTTAGACAGATTTTCCAGAAATCCTTAAGCAGAGTTAAACGCAATGATGGTGAAACCTATGATAAAAATAAATCTAAGTTCATAACTGATTATGACAGATGAAACCCTGTCACTGAGAAGGAAGCGAAGCTCAAGCATATTGAAGAAATTGGAAATATGGGTGCAAATGAAGATGCTCTCAGGAAGAAATACAAGAAATCTCACAAGTAAGCTATACAAAATTATCCTTGTCATTAGTTTTCTTAAAAAATTTAACTTGCCTTTTAAAGGAGCTTAGACTCTAACTAAAAATAGAGGAAGAAGGGTAGCCCCTGCCAAGAAAAACCTGGATGAAATAATCTCACTTGATGAAGAGGTCAAGGATGAGGATCCTCGCAAAGAATGGACTGTAGAGAAAATGATGGAAGACCCCAAAGATTCCTCTGGAAACAACAATTGGATGATGAAGCCATCATGCCAAAAATCCTCCTTTGAAAAGTCAGAGAAAGCTTCTGAAAAAGACGATATCTCTGCCATTGTCTCTGAGGTTCTCAACAAAAGTGCTAAAGAAGACGACATGATCGTGAAGCAAGTCCTTAAAGAAGAGGAAGAGAAGGAACACCAAATAAGGCAGCAAGAGAAACTGCACCAAAGAAGACAGCAAGAAGAGAAGGAAAAACAAGACCAAATGCATGAAAAGATGATTGAGGAAGAAATTGGGAATATCCAGGAGAAGAAGGAAAGTGATAGTAGTGGTCGCCTGAAGAGCCTTGACCAGGCCACTATTGAAGGACATGAAGATAAAGAAGATATGGTAGACTCCCTTAATGAGAGCCATAGTGCTAACCAGAAATCTGAAGGGCTTAGTGAAGAAAAACCTCAGAGAAAGATAGCATGGAGGGTTGGAGAAGTCAAAATTGGAGCTCAAAAATCTGATTCTACACCTGAGAGTTAAATCTACAGCCATGTTTGAAAGCCGTTGAGAGAGGGTCTTTACTTGAGGCTGATAAAAATTCAGATATTTAATTGATTCAATATTAAATTACCTGGTGGGGTTTTGGGGTTTTGGGGTTTTGGGGTTTTGGGGTTTTGGGG